CGCCCGTATAACACTATAAGTTAATTTAGACACGTGTTGCCTCCTATTGGGCTGAAGGAGGATGAAGTCAACAAGCTCTTGGACAAGTTCAGTTGTAGCAAGCTCGCTCTGGGAGAATATGTGAGTGAGCCTAGATATGTGGGGACCTACAACTGATGAACAATCGAATGTGGCCGACAACTTGTGTTGATGATTTTGAATTGCCTTGAAGGGAAAGGCAAGTAAGACGGGGTGGGAATGGTGAGCATTAGGCTATGCAGTAATAGTTGAAAGATGTTAGGGTCCCCTGAATAGATTATTTCCTATGGTTAAACTTAGTGAGCTTGGAGATGAAGGTTTTGAGGGGAGAGCTAGTGATTCAAGCAACGGTGAGAGGCGATTTGCTTGCTTAATAAGAGATCTCCAACTCACCCCATATAGGATGAGCTCCTTAGTGAGCTCAGATGAGTAAAGCATGTTAATCTCCACGGGTGAGTCCCTTAGTAGAGTGAAATGTAGAATGGACTAAGACTTATCACCTTAAGTTTAAGAACAACATAGTGCGGTTGGCATGTAAGAACGATTCTTAGAAACTTGCATTGTAAGCAAGGTGTCTTAATGATGGTGACTCATCAGGACCCTTAGATCAAATTGGAGATAACAAGATAAACCTCAAGTCTTTGGCCTATATGCTTAAACAGTCAATTTAAAATTGAATGGTTTTAAATTAGGACCCTCATGAGTGCTATAATAGTTTGATTTTTGAGATTACATAGTGACTTGTTATCCTAGGAAGGCACCATATTCCTCTTGGTCTCCCTAAGGATATACTATTGAGCTGAGCTAAGATCATTCAGCATTCAAGTGTACACATCAGCATACTTAAAGCATTGACACATTTCATCAATTCGATGACACCATCCTTGAGGTGTGCATCATTTATAGACACTAAGTTATACATGTCAATAATGCACCATAACATGTGTTGCTTCCTATAATATAGCAAGATACGATCCTTACACTATTTGAGTGGCAAGGCATGGGGGGTCAAAATAGTATGCAGTTTTTATGTTATTGATGGGCTATAGTATAAGAACTTTTAGCATGTATGTAGAGATGGCTTCACCTCCTTTTCGATTGGCAAACATGAGACAATGTCTCCTATTCGATGGCAAGGTTAGCTTCACAGCCCTTTGAAGAGGTCAACTCATTTTTGCACCCAAGGATGGCTTCACTTCCTCTTTAGCTCTCAAAATCTTAGGATGATGCTAGGAAAAAGACTCCTCTTTACTCACAAGCACTCAAGCAGATAATGACCGTTTTTGTTTGAAATGGCTTCACAAAAGAATGATAACTCCATGAAATTGCTCACAAACTGAATTGAACCCATATGACTTCTATTTTGCATTTATGATAACTATTTTTCTTTCCTTACTATTTAACTTGATTTCATTTGTTTGTTTTATTATTATTATTATTTTATGCTTCATAAAATAGGTTCAAGACTTCAACCTAGTTTCATAACATTTAATTTATAGAACTATAATTTTATTGCTTAAGAATAATGTTAAGTCACTCTGTACCGCAATTTCATTCATTATCAACAAATAAAAGAAAATATCAAAACATGATGCAACTTTTAGGAAAGATCTAAATATATGACACATGGTAAGAGAAATGATGCCAATCATGCGGTAGCAATTTAAAGCATTCTCATGTGTTGTTTAATTGATAATAGTTTTCATATTAGGATATTTTTCACTAATACTATTGAATTATTAATAAATTACTCATATTTTAATAATTTGCATTATTTTTAAACCATCCCATGCTAAACAATAAGTTATGGCTCCAAAGAACCTTTGCACTATGATGTGTGCACTAAGGTTTAAAATTGCGTAATTAAGCCTCGAGGCGGTTTTCGTCCTTGAGGCGAGGCGTAAGCCTCGAGGCGGTCTGAGGCGTAAGCCTCACGGACACAGAATTGTGTAAATGAAAATTGCATTTTAAATAGACATACGTCTTCTCGCCCCCTCCTACGTCAACTTGCACGCTATATTTCCAAGAAGGGTCACGCCGCAATGACGTATTCGCCTTTTCTTTACCTCTAACCATGATTCCTAAAGCAAAAATTCAAAAACACAAAAAAACAATCAAAAAAACAAAAACCCTAGATTTTCTTACACTTGAAAAATCTAACCCTAAACTAAAAAAAAAAAACCTTAAATCCAATGTGGAGAACTCCTAAAGGGTGGCCGGAAACTTCAACTTCGCTCGAGAGAGGTGGCGCCGGCGGGAGAAGCGGTTGGAAGGGAAGCCGACGGGTGCGGTTCGTGCGGGAGCTCTCTGTTTCGCGAACTGGAGCCGTGCGGGAAGGAAAATTTAGGGAGAACTAGAGCCGTGCGGGTTTAAGGAGAAAAAATCTTCATTTTAAGTAGGTGGGCCCGTTCCCATGAGGCGTACGCCTCACCCAAAGTTGAGCAATTGCGCCTCTAAGGCGCGCCTCAGTCCAAGTGAGGCGTACGCCTCTGCCAGGGGTGGAATTGCGTAAGCCTCGAGGCAGTTTTGGGACAAATTGCGCAGAGGCGCGCCTCAAGGCGTGCAATTTTAAACAGAGCTGTGCACTAGGTATATTCATAGTATATGCCTTGCCTTGAAAATATTTTTAATTATTTTGAGTTTTAGCACATTTTGAGGCAAATTAAAACACTCAAAATATTTTTTTTTATGTCATATTTGTTATCATATGGTCATTCTATAATAATTAGAATGTTGTCATTGATATAAATTTCACAAGTCATATACTTATCTTTTCTTTTTTATAGGTTTAGGGGTAAGGCCGCCTCTCAAATTAAAGCAATATATTAGCGTGAAATTAAAGTTTTATGTGTTGCTTGAACAAAACATTCGTATAGATTTTATGTGTATAGCCATGAGCTACTCTATAATTGGAATTTTCTTATGTAGGGCTTAGCCTTCAATAATAAAAAATAAAAGATGATTAGTTGTTTAAAAAAACTAACTAATTGGTATAATATCTCTAGACTAGTTTGACTCTAATGGACCACAATAAAGAATTAATGCACTAGATCCTCATTAACGTTACTATTATTTTTCTGTTCAACCACAGGGTATAGAGTAGATGATGTAACTCTTCCCGGTTGTTTCAACATTTACAACAACTCCTTACCTCTGGCTAGAGGTAGCAAGTATGCCAGCAATGATGAAACCGTTTGATGGCCATCTCTACTGCTAATTTGACAATAATGAAGTAAATTACGATTGGTTAACCGTTGATGGTGAGCATTCATCTCTCTGAACGCAAAAAAAAAAATCAAGTGTGAGTAAAAACTTGGTCGACTCAAAGATTCAAAGAATGAAGAGATCCTCAAACTTAGTCAGATCAAAGATCAATGAACACGTAGATATTCAAACTCCTATTGGATCAAAGATCAATGGATGATGAGTTCAAATTTCGTTTGAATACAAAATCAACAAACACAAAAGAGGGTAAATCTCCAGATTTTGTTGAGCTTAGAGTCTAGTTTCATCCAATAAATTGAGCTCTTCCATTTTCAAATGAGCATTCTTCTCTTGAGTGAGGTCACATTGAATAGCTACTCGAAGTGAAGGCAACCCAACTTCTAATGACAACATTGATTTAGCTCCAAATACCAACGCATAAGGAGTAATTTTTTTGGAGTTTTATAAGTAATGTGATACAACCATAACACTTCTATCATTGTTGTATGTCATTCTCTCACATTTTTTGTGAGGATATTTTTCAGTAGCTTTATCATAAAGCCCACATCAAGATATGACAAACATGATGTCATTAAATTCCGATCAAATCAAAAATCAATAAGACCAATCACAACACTCTAACTGGATCAAAGATGCTATAAGTGTAGGGTCTTCAAATTCAGTTCAAAACAAAGATCAATGGATGTGCAGCCGAGGAAAGATTATTCTATGCAGGGTACGGAGTATGGCTACAATGTGGGTGTACACAATGCGCCGAAAATAACTCTACGTCCCGACTCTGCTCTTACTAATTCCTTTCAGCTGGGACTGTGGCCATACCAATCAGGATGAGACCTGCTACATTTTTTTCTCAGGGAAGTTGTAGACAGTATGTGGAGAGTTTCCAATTGGTGGGGTTGGCGGTTTGTGCTTCAAGATCTACGCGGGCAAAGGTGGCAAGTCGCGTACGTCACGACTCCAGGTTTCGAGCATGAGGTAGCGAGCAAAGCAATTAAAATGAACTGGTGCTAAAGTGGCGAGTGGAGCGGGTGGGAAAATTATTAGGTCCGGACATCGGACGTAGAGATACGTCCAAACGTCAATAAAATGTTGACACGTGGAGTGGACACGTGGATATTCAATATATTTAATGTGTCCGCAGAACATTAAGCCAAGCACACCAAAAGCACAACTAAAACGCAGGTAAAGTGCAGTCAAAGCGCAGTTAAAGCGCAACTAAAGTGCAAGTAAAGCGCACAAAAAAGCGTAACTAAAGTGCTCTCCATGTGTAAAATTTTTAGTGGATGTCCGGATGTATCTCTACGTCCGGTGTCCGGACCTAATAATTTTCCGAGCGGGTGTGACTCTACATGGGATTAGGGCACAAGTGTGTATGGTTTTTTTTTTCGTAAACAAGTTGTCATTGCAGCCGTAGAAAGATAAAAGAAGCAATACCAAACTTATGAACAGTGACAATCATTTAGGGGAAAGCATCAAACTGTAAATTTGTTTGAATTGTTGGAGTTAAGCATAAAAAAAATAATAACCTTTTTTTAGGTGGTTTGAACCCTTTCAATCATTTTCGAAGACTAAATGAAATGCAGCATATCTATCACTCGTTAGCAATCAACTTGCATTTACAGAACAATTGGTCCAAGAAAAACATATTTAAAATGCAACGGCAGAAGCGACAGAGAAGGGAAACAGAAGTGATTGAATCGGAATATATAACGCATAAAGATAAAAAAAAAATAAATCCGGGACAAAAGCAAACACACCTCTTCGCCCTCTTCGGGTCAATGGCCGCAAGCTCCGCTAACTGTTCTGCCGTCATTGCTTTCTTGGCCTCCAGTACTTCTCCGAACATCCCTTCCCCCCTCGCAACCGCCGAAGAAGACATGGACGACCCATCCATCGAGTTGTTGTGCCGATGCTTCGGCTTTGTGGTCGTCGCCGCCACACCATCTCTAGCATTGTTGATCTTCCGCTCATCGCCCGCGCCTGAGATCTCCGCTTCCCAATCTCGGCACAGCCCGCCCTCCGACCCCGATCCACTCCCCTCCATCTTGCACCCGATCTTCTCGATGTCCATGAAAGTGGAGAAGAGATCGTCCTCCGACACGATCTCTTCGACGTTCCCATTCACCATTGGGTCCCCCGAGCATAGGTCAAAGTCCTCCGGAATCCGGAACGCGAGCTCCGATCTAGCACGACGGTGGAGTGGCCACCGCATCGGCACCGTCGCTTGGCTCTGGAATGTGAACGGAGCTTCACCGGCCGGCGTCGGCGCAGGAGGCACCGACGACAGGGCATTGGCCTCTACCCGTTGCGAAAATATGAGGTTTGGGGTTGGGTTAGTGCTCGAAGGTTTGGGTGGACATTGCTGATTCATCTGCATTTCGTGCCCTCTCCTGCATCAAACGACTCATAAGGAGAGAATAGAAGAGCGAAATAGCCGCAAATGGTTTGAGGAGAACGGAAGTTTCTTTTTAGTAACAGTCATGAGGCATATCAAACGGAAAATTTGCACTACAAAATGTTTGAGCCCCGTGGTAACTCATTTTAACCTATTTCTATTTCAAACAAAATATTTATTATTTCTCTATTTTTATTTATAAAAATATATTTGTATCATCATGTTGTTCAAATCTCAAACATGCATTTATGAAATGTTGTGCTGCTCGGTTGGACGCTCGCGAGATCTGCAAACGCCCAAATGACATTCAGTTAGAGATGCCCCTAAAAAATTTATTTACGCGTGTAACATTCTATTAAATTTGCACATGACATAATTAACTTATTCAAATTTAATAAAACATAAAAAATGTAATTCTATATTTTAAATTTGAGTAATATTATTACAAATAGAAATATCTCAATACTAATTTAATAAATTTGTAAGATTTAATTATTGCATGTAAAATTGCCCACTTTTTTTTCAAATTTCAAAATCTATAATTATATTTAATGTGTGATGATTTAAAAGAGAAATCTATAACTCCAATCAAGCAAGGGCCTACACTCTAAGCATTAAATTGAAATGGGTTGAGCTCAAACTTAATCAACCGTGACACGGATTTGAATTTTGAATTGGTTTTATTGGAGTTATAGAGTACCATTAAGTGATATGTGAATCTAGTGCTCTATTTTTTAACCAAGGCTTAAAGATAATTTGTAATATAATATTTAGCATTATTTTTAATAGCTAACTAAATTTAGAAGGAAAATTGACTAGATATTATAAGCATATGGTTGAGTCGAGCTTGAGTGAAATCTCTATGCTTGAATTGAAATGTGGCAAATTCAAACATGAGGCTTTATTTTGGCATGGCTTGAATGGAAGAGAAGTTGTGAAGTATCAAGAAGTGGCATGAGTTTAGTGTTTTTCTTGCTAATTAAGACTGGCATAATTTATAAGCTCTAATTTAAATTTGGAGTAACTTATTTTTTTTAATGTACTTCAAAATTGTATTGAATTATATTTTCAAATGTCTTGATTATTGAATTAAAATTTGTCCACAAATAACACTCGTACCACAAGATTTTATATGAATTACAAGGCATGGGATTGGAAAGAAAAAGAAGATCCAATGAGAAAAGTTGAGAGAGTTTATTATTTTGCCAAAAAGTATAGGATTTTTTAACCTATGAATGGATGATCCAAGGAGAAAAGTAACAAGGATTGAGAGGCAAGGAGGGTTTAGGAAGAATGTTCATCACTTCCTCTTAAAATGATAAGATTATTGAAAATGAAAACAATGAAATTCTTATTGAGGCACCTATAGTCAGTAAAATTATTTTTAAATCCTTATTGACTAAGGTGGTTAGAGGTAGCTTTTTTCACCAAGCTCTTCTTGGATGGAAATGATAAAGCAACTGCTTGAAGACGCCAATATTATTCTTCCTACTCATAATCTTTTTCATGAGACTAACCAATTGGTTGATTCCCCAATTTTTATTGGTGACAAACACAAGAAGTTTCACGAGATTAATGTTGCCCTTGAAGATCAAGAAGTAATGAAAGATTCCCTTGATGTTCCAACTTTAAAATTTCCTATTATTGAAGATAATTTTCCTCATATTAATCTTTAAAGGAAGAAATCATCTATACACAAGCTAATTTTAAAATTGAGAAGTCAAGGGCCACTGAAAGATTCACAAAATTGTAACTCTTTAGGGAACAAAAGAAAACTTGCCTAGGCAACTTGGTGGATAGGTCCATAGCATATGCTGATGCTATTTTAGTTGATGTCACTACTAGTATTAGGTTAGAATTGAATAACTTGAAAAAGGATATCATCCGCTTAAAGAGAAGTACTTTTCAACTTAGATTAATCAATTCGCTAGCTAAGCTAAGTTCATACTTCATAACTTCATTTGATATGTCTTGTTACCTAAAGAGGATTTTTTTTATACGATGGTACAAGATTATTTAGGAGGAGCATCTTCATCACTTATTGCTAAGTTTAAGATTGTGCTAAAAACTTTTTTCTATCATGCTTAATTTAATTTTCTTTGTAATCGAAATAAACCCAATATAGTATATATTATAATGAAAAATATATTTTTGTTTATTATTTTATTTAATGATTTGACTTCAACATGCCTTCAAATCTATGTAAAATTGAGTGCCATATTTTTTAGTTGGTAAAAATGAATTGATTGTATGACGAGCTACTAGTCAGATTTCATCTTCATATTTAACCTTAGTAATTCATTTTTACCTATTTACTCTATCTTCTTTTCTTCTAAGTACATAAAAATTCAAGGGTTAAAAAATAAATAAAAGAATTGAAGAGAAAGTTCCTTGCTAAATTTAAAATTTAGAGGGCTAATCGATAGTCAACTGAGTGAGATCCTTATTATTAAATTAGCTCCAATTGATCTTAAGAGAGAAGAAGTTGATTTGTTCAATAATCTACGAGAGGAGTTGTTACCGCTAATTTTTCGATCGTGGTAGATATACAACAAGAGCAACCTTGTTCAAACAAATCGCCTATTATGTCACCTTTACTTTTCTTTTTGTCATTATATGTAGCCATTGGATTTTTATTCAAGCTTTTTGTTATTCATATTTCAAATTTCAAAATTATTAGAGAGATCCCCTCTTGGTTGAGATCGTCCAATCAAAGATAAGCCTGTACAATTTTCCAAATGAAGTCCTAGAGAGTTTCTGTGTCTCTCCAAAGAAGAAAAAGTAGTGAATAGTCCTTAGTGATGATGACGAGATGCTAGCTCGATTAAGTTTGCACCAAGGTGTCTCGGCTTAAGGTACATCCATGGCTATTCCCATCATATTGGTATGTGAGATTTTTCATTAAAAGCTGTCAAAAGTGTCGAGTAGAAAGGATAAAGATACAGAGAAAATCATTCTTCCTCATCCTCTAAAACTTTAAGTTGAGATACAATAATGATGAAAGAAATATGGATTTTCATTGAGATAAAAAATAGTGAGTTGTTATTTCTTCTGGTGCAAAGTCACTTTTCTCAAATGATAAGCTCCACTTAGCACCATTTAACATTGGCTATGCCATTCTCTCCAAGTACATAAAGAGCTATCTAGAGAGGCCAATGATCTCCACATGTTAGTGATTAAGTAGTTTGTTTCATAATGGCAAAGTACCTTCTTTCTTACAAACTCACATTAGAAGGTAATAACAAAAAATGAGACCTTTGAGGCTAGTTAGACATAATTGCAAAGGAAATAAAGATTTATTCATTAAGCTTTATTAGTTTATCAAGTTGAGTAAATTACACAGACTTATTGCATGAAATTTTCCTAAAAGGTTAACATTGTCTTGTTAAATAAAAAAAATAAGAAGCACACACAAATCTAAATGCTACTCATGAGTTGAGAACTATTGAGTCATAGAACAAAATAAATATTGTGCCTTCAACTTTATCTAGTTCTAAATTTTCAAAGAAAGAACTTGCCCATTTGCTGCATTTGTTGTATTCATTACAAACCTGGGAACCTAAAGTTGGAAGAATGTCTAAAGAAAGGAGGTTAGAGCAAGTTAGCTCCTATTTTTAAGCTTTAAGGACCACGAACACTAGAAAGTTTGTCAAGTTGGTCGAGCACAAATAAGACATTATAAAAAATATTAATTATAAATCATTGTGGATGTGCTGGTAGACTCAAGTGTGATTAACTATGTTTAGGAAAACCTCAATTTGTTTATTATAGCACCAAGAACTATATGAAAATGAACGAGATATGAGAGAAATCCTTGGAGGTGTAAATAGTGTGCATTCCTCAAAGAGTGGCTCTTGAGTTATACATACTCTTATTTTGATTAACTCTTTTGATATATATATATAACCCC